ACACACTCTGCATTATATACGGACACACTCATACAAACACACACTCTGCATGATATAACGCAGAGTGTGTGTGTTTGTGTGAATGCAGAGTATGTGTGTGTGTATATAACGCAGAGTGTGTGTTTGTATGAGTGTGTGTATAATGCAGAGTGTGTGTTTGTATGAGTGTGTATATAATGCAGTGTGTGTGTATATACAATGCAGAGGGTGTGTTTGTATGAGTGTGTGTTTGTGTGTGAACTGGGTGGGGGAGGGCATTTGTATTATTTTTAATTTTAATATTTTAATTTTTTAATTTTATTATAATTTTTTTATTTTATTATTTACTTTTTTAATTTTAATATTTAAAAATTTTTATTGTAATATTTTTTTTATTATTATTTAATTTTTATTTTCGTCCCCCCTCCCTGCTTGTTAGCTGGCCAGGGAGGGGGGCTCTCATTCCCTGGTGGTCCAGTGGATGGGCTGTGTAGGAGGGGGGCTGGCAGAGAGCTGTTACTTACCTTTCCTGCAGCTCCTGTCAGCTCCCTTTTCCTCTGGTCCGGTCAGCTCCACTGTAAGTCTCGCGAGAGCCGCGGGGTCAGAGCGTTGCCACGGGTTACCGTGGCAATGCTCGCGTGGCAGTCACACCGCGAGACTTACAGTGGAGGAGAAGGGAGCTGACAGGAGCTGCAGGAAGGTAAGTAACAGCTATCTGCCAGCCCCCAACAGGACCGCCGGGCTTGTAATGAGCCCGGCGGTCCTGGTCTGTATTATGGCAATGTAAGTTGCCATAATACAGACACTGACTCAAGTATAAGTCGAGTGGGGGGTTTTCAGCACAAATAATGTGCTGAAAAACTAGACTTATACTTGAGTATATATGGTACTTCAGTTCTGTTAGATCTCTTTTGTCAACTAAATTAGAAGCATTTTGCTCATCAGCATACCATTTTTGAAAAGGGCCAGCAATTTCTAAATGTAAATTGATTTTATATGAAATAACAACTTGCCCTCTCAGTGGGGGCTCAAGTGGTTTGGACCACACACTTTGGGATGCATGTAGAGATCCATGTCTCCAAGGTGATATTCTGATACAAATTACTAAATGCTGAGAGATGTTCTATTTGTCTCCACGATGATTGCTCCTAATGTAGTACTTTGTCCCAGAATAGCACTTGTTTCTGCCTTTATTAATCTCCCCTATTGAGTTAAAAAGAGGTTACCTCTTCTCACCAATTTATGCAATCCCGTACGGAAAACATGTGGCTCTGAAAATTGGAGAGCTTTGTCAATCATAAAGTGAAAAATAAGCATGAATTTGTAAATGAGGAATACATCACATGATTCACTCATTATTTTAATTTGTTTTTTCAAAATTAGACATAATGAGTTTTTATTTCTATGGATTGCAATTAATGGAAAAAAAAAACACATAGATATATATGTCTATATGCAGGAGTATATTTACCGCGAGGCTGACAAGGCATTTGCCTTGGGCGGCACTTTCTAGGGGGTGGCAAAACAAACACCACCCAATCGCCCTGGCAAATGCCTTGCCAGCCTCTTGTCCTAGGGGGCCCAGGAGCTGGCTGGCTGGCCACCACAGGGCCCCCTGAGGCTGGCAGTGGCAGCACTTTTCGGGCGGGCAGTGAGGGAGCACTGATCCTCCTGTTCAGCTCCCCTGCGCGCACCACAGTGATGCCAGAGGCCAGAGCTGGAATATGACGTCACTCCGGCCCTGGCATCACAACGCGGCACGCAAGGAAGCTGAACAGGAGGATCAGTGCTCCCTTGCCGAATGCAGTGACAGGCCAGCCACCCAGCAGCCCCACTGGACTTTGGGAAAGCGAGAATCCACCCCAGAACTCCCAAAGGTAGGTAAAAAAGGAAATAAATGTGTGTGTGTGTGTGTCTGTTAATGTGTGTGTCTGTTAGTGTGTGTCTGTTAGTGAGTGTGTTACTATGTGTGTGTCTGTTAGTGTGTGTGTGTGTCTGTTAGTGAATGTGTTAGTATGTGTGTGTCGATTAGTGAGTGTGTGTGTCTGTTAGAGAGTGTGTTAGTGTTTATGCATGTCTGTTAGTGAGTGTGTATGCGTGTCTGTTAGTGAGAGTGTTTTGATAACGTCATTTGGGCGCCAAATCTTTTTACTGTTTAAAATCAGTCCCCCTATATAAACCCTACCCTACCAAGCATGCTTTTTGTCTCCACATGAAAAAGCCATTATAGGTGAAAAGCGTTGTGGATATTTTAATATTTTTTTCTGTATTCTTAATAAAGGTATTCTGGCTACTTTTAACATACTTTGATTGTGCCATTTTACTTTTTTCTATTTGTATTTTTTTATTATATTTTACTATTGCTGCTTGGTATCCTGATTTTATTTCTTCATGCTGAGTATTACTCCAAAGAAATCCTAGGTGGGTATTATACCACTTACGCCTGAGACATTGAGCAGTACGGCTGCTTAATCATATGTGAGTACCCAATTTATTACTTATACTCCTTAGATATTATTTTAAACAGCAAGCACTTTCCCCTGTCTCTCTTCTCTCTTATGGTCTACATATCGGTACAGTACTTACCACTCTACATAAATTCTATAAATGGGGATTATACCGCTGTACACCATCCACACTAGAGCTGGTTCAAACTCTACTGCACATGAGTAGGACTACTTAGACCCTGTTGTTATATTACTCATCCATCTATACTAGACGTATTGCACCATCACCTGTCTTTCTCTTCCACATACGGAGCAAAAGACTAATCCCTTTCTACGTATCCCACATGCGGGGATTGTACCGCTGTATGCCATCCATGCTGGAGCTAGTTTAGCTCTACTACACGTGAGTAGGATTACCATAGACCCTCTCTTCCTGCTATCCACTCTGCTTACCAGACATATTGCACTATTAACTTCTCCTCTCTTCAAATACATATCCTGGAAAGCTGTCTCCATTTGATCCAAACAGAGAAAACTCCTCTACATAGGCCACGGGCGTCCCATCAAGCTTTATTATAGACTCTATACTGTCGTTTTCCTTGTTCAAAGGTTTTTTCTCAAGATTAACCACTATATGTTGGACTTTTTTTCATAAGTAGCTACACTAAAGTGAGCTTTGGCGCAACCTTTATTTTGCTTTGTCTTTTGTACTATCCTTCTCTATAGGGCTTAGAGGGAACCCTATCTTAAGGTTTGCTGCCTCATACTCTCCCTTTTAATAGTACTGGTTATTTTTAGCACTGTTTCCTTTATCTGTATATTCCTATTCCATTAGTATGTGTGTGTCTGTTAGTGAGTGTGTTAGTATGTGTGTCTGTTAGTGAGTGTGTATGCGTGTCTGTTAGTGAGTGTGTGTCTGTTGGTGACTGTATGTGTCTGTTAGTGAGTGTGTATGTCTGTTAGTGAGAGAGTGTGTGTGTATTTTAGTGCATGTGTATGTGTGTCTGTCAGTGAGTGTGTATGTCTGTTAGCTTGTGAATGTGTGTGTCTATCAGAGAATGTGTGTTTGACACTGAGTGTATATGTGTCTGTAAGCCATAATCATCGCACTTATGACAAATCACGGCTTGAACTATCTTGCTTTGTATGTAATGCGTCTATCTCATATATTAGTTTCCCCTTTTACGTTGCATTACTGAAATAGATGAACTTTTGCACGATATTCAAATTTTTTGAGTATCACCTGTATGTGCAAGCACTTATTTAGCATACTTCAAGTAATAAGCACTGCATTTTAGAGAATATTGGTGTAGTGGTACTTACCTTACCCTGGGGCCGGCCGAGGTCCTCTCTTCCCGCCGCGCGCGGCTCTCGAATGAAGGCGGGCACGGACCGCGAGATGCATTTTGGGGATATGACAGGGGCCAATCAAAGTAAAGTTTAGGGTATTTATACTTACCTCTCCCTTAACTCCCTGCCCTATCGTGGTTTCTGTTTCAGTTCCCTTTAGCGCTTGTTGTGTTCAGTTGTGATTTTCGTGCTTGACCTTGGCTTTGTATCTGACTCTGTTTATCTCTCCATCTGTTTTGTCTTGTTTGCCGGATTTCTGACTACTGTGTACCAGACCTTGGCTAGTTTTTGTTCTCGCAGTCTCTCTGTTCCCTTGACCTCGTCTTGTTCTTGACTCTGTCTATTCTCTGCTTTACGGCGAGTCCGGCCATTTTAAGGTCCGGTAGTCGTATCTGCTCTATCTGTCGACTAAATCTTGCGTGTAGGGGTAAACTACCGTGACAATTGGTTGGTTGGATACTTTTTATTTTAACCCAATCAGAATGCAGATGGAGTAACATTTTTTTAATTTGTTTTTTACTGTATGTATTGGGGCTGATGTGTACTGTGGTTGTTGCTTCCTCCCATGAGTAGCTATGTTACAATGAAGCCGCCCACCCTATATGATCCATATTAAAGGTTAATAAGCATGTAGGGGTTTAGAAAAATACCCCTCTCTCATTAGAGATATCTTTGCCAGAAGCTCAAGGAAGCAAGGTGAATAGTCAGTGAAGGACCCACCTGAGAGGTTTGCCTTGACATGGCAGATAGGCATCCCTCTAATGACCATTGGAGTTACTAAATAACCTCCATTTGTTTAAATATGCATAGGGATTTGGAAAGAGCGCAGGTAACTTTCTTTTTCTTTTTTTTTTACTCTGAATTGCGGCTGATGTGTACTGTGGTCTTTGCTGCCACCCAAAAGTAGTGGGAGTTTAAACGCAGGACTTGTTTTTGTGTATTTAAATATTAGTTATTGACCAAAAAAGGCACAGATGAAAATAAACTATTGACTTCCCCACAAAAAAAAAAATAACACAAACTGTAATTTTAACATTTATGTTAAAATTTTTCTGATACTAACCTTAAAGAATATTTTTATTTAAAAAAATGTATTACTATGACAATATGAGCATTAACGTCCACCGTAGGTTAATATTTCTTTCTGCTAGTAGAGTTTATTGATTGTGACATCGGTTATTTTGGTTTGGTCCTTTTACAATAATTGTTCTCTCAGTAAAGTTAGTTTACGCAAAAAAAAGTTTAAAATTTCTGTCCATAAGGAAGATGTTTCATTATAACTTTATATAAACAAAAGGATGAAATCTCATAGACTGTCATGTCAAATTGTGCAATGCCAGATTAGAGTTTCACAGAGGATGAACAGTACAAACAAAATGAATAGGTTCTATCAGATATGTTCTTGTAACATAAAATATAAATTGTTTTTAGGGCAAAATAAGTTGCAATTTCTTTTTTGTTCTAGTATGAAATTTATTTATTTTAAAAGATAAAACCAAAAGGTACATAAATTGCCGGAAGAGATATTTGAAAACCAAAGTGTTTGGTATAAGTGGAAATGAGATTGTGAAATGGTTGTAGGTCTGCAACAAAGTTCTAGGTAAGCTAGCTTAGTGACTGTGAGATATAATGAGAGATGCCTGGTTTGGTATGCTAAAGTATGTTAAATAATGGCCTCATTTTAGGGACAGACAGGCTTACTCATCAAAGTGTGATTCATAAATTCAAACTGAATTTTGAAATCCACTTTTAATTCCCAATACTTCTCATTCGGTTGAATAACCCAGAAAGTATTTATCAATGCCCACATTGTCTAAATTCTCATAATTTATTGGAATTCTAGGAATATGTATGGACTACATTGCAGTTCTTGCAATTCACAGGGTAATTCTTTTTAAATTTTACCTAAAATTCCGATCAGCCTGTTTACTAAAGTATGAACTAACATTTAATTGTTTTCAATAGGTTATTCATTTGAAATTAATTTCAAAGGTCACCATTCTGTTGATATGGAAAACGTTTCTAAGTCAGCTATGCTTCTGTTCTCTGAGGAAGTCCCATACGGAGGATAAAACGTGTGGGATAATACAGGATCCCTAGAACTTTTAGTCATTCTGTTATTTTACATGTGTTTTTTGTACATCGGCTGTGCACCCTGTCTAAGAGGAGCATACTTCTACATCTTACCACCTATGTGGAGACATGCCTGTTTACACTTTGTCACTGTAAGTGCAATACAATAAATTTTTATATTTTTCTGACTTACTTCACTATTGTTTCTATATCTCTCTCTCTGAGTGGCCCAAGGTATATGTATATGGCTGAAGGATCCTGTCATACACTAAAGAGAGCACTATTTCTGTTCTTTTATGTCCTCTGCATATCACTGGAACATCATCCTGAATACACCACATGGATTATTGGCATAAGGATATGATTCCAGAGGGAATCAGGTCCATCCTGACATCCATAGACGGTGATTGTACCGTCCATGCGCTGTGATCTGGAGCTGATCTTTAGCTCCAGAAAAGTGTGAGTGCAATATTTTTCTTTGTATTTTGCCTCTGCTTTTATAGACATACTACACTATATTAGTATTCCCTACTGTAACGGACTGTTTCAGCACACAAGGGGTTAAAAACGTTTAGGCGATATTCCCCTTTTCAGATGCACAGGCACAGCAACTGCAGAACACCAAACTCCCGAACTGAATACAAGGGAATGCTTCAAACTCCCGAACTGCATACAAAGGAATGCTCCAAACTCCTGAACTGCATACAAGTGAATGCTCCAACCTCCCGAACTGCATACAAGGGAATGCTCCAAACTCCCGAACTGAAACCTCACGAATAGCTGCTAGCAGATGAACAGGAAAAGCACCCAAGCGGCTTACACTCCTGGCAATCAGTGTCTAACAGCATACAGTAAATCCCCCCCAAAGACGAGACAAGGCTCCGTGTTGAGGATCAAGCAGTGGTCTGTTTAATGAGGGCTACCTGCCCAGTATTTATGCAGGTCTCCCACCTGGTGGACACTCCCCTAGGTGACCAAATGGGAGACTGTGACAAAGGACAGACATGAACCAATGACAGACACACAGAGGTAAAACCTCCCCACAATGCATCCTAACTTCCCTCCCTCTGTCCTGGAGATAATTGGGAAGTAATCCAATTATCTCCCAGCACAGTGGCAAAACTCCATTAACCACATGGCAGTAAAAGACAGTAAAATACATAAAAATTTATAAAGTTACAACTGTTGCACAAAACATATACATTCTACCTATCCCCAGATAGCTTAGATCTGAGCGCACAAAAGTACCGAATAGCGCTCAGATCCTATGCACACAGTCCAATCGCCGTGGAGTTAAAGTGTTCACAAAGTCTGTTCTCCATCCGAATAGACTCCACGGGATGGCTATCTGGGGTAATGCTGTTCATACGGTTTAAACTATCGAATGAACAGGCATCCGGTTAAATAAGCCTTTTCTGCAGGGGAAAAGAAGGCTTTTGACATGGGGCCATAGTCCAAAGGCAACAGGTGAGCAACCAGGCTTCTCCAATGCAATGTGGCGAGATTGGTCTCGTCACACCTACATTCCCCATTCTATTTGTATCAACAACAAGGAAGTAGAGAACCTCATTTGCTGCTAAATCTATATCTATCTCTCTGCATGTGAGCATCTGAAATTTACTATAAGAAGAATTGCCACTTCTCTTTTCTTCGTATCCCTGAGGGGTGATGAGCGCATATTTTACATCCATTTTTGAGTGTTACATCTACAATATCATTGCTGGATTACGCTATGTATTGTCTGTAATTTGGGTTCTAGATCTTTGGATACATTTCCCCAGTGCTGTATTTTCTCCATATATACTGGTTGTTTTTCCATATATATTTTTATTATTTTCTCACACGAGTGTTTTGTGGTTTTCCATTGCCTTTACCTATAGTTTATTTTGATGTATTTGTGAGATCCATTAGGAAGATCACTTTCACAAGTGTTTTTTTTTTTCACTTCTAGTGCATCCTGGGCTATCGTTCTGTTCTGGTTTAAAATTTGAAATTCACTTTGAATTCTGACTCTAGTAAACAACCATGTTTATGTACAAATAAATGGCGTCATAAAACCAATTTTATTGTTTTGTCATTTACTATACAGTATTCACTAACTAATAATGTAAATAAAAATGAATGCATGTCCAGCACTTTTTGTTTGGGATATATACACAAGGGAGCCGGAGTCTGCGGCACCCTCTGCTTAAAACAGGTGGGTGATCTTCCATTTTCACAGTTTCGTTGATCTAATAAATATAATACTCAAATGTGGGTCTACAAAAAGAACTCGTAACATAAACCTATCAAGACACTTTAAGTCATAACTTTTCAAATCGTTTGTATTAGAGAAATATTCCGAATATTATACACGTAACAGTAAATTTTAAACAAAACGAAAACATAAAGTGAAAAAAATTACAATAAAATATTAATAAAAGAAAAGAAAAAGGAAAGGAAAATAGGGAGGGGGGAATTTTCCATTCATGAATATTTAATCAAACAATACAATTGCTCCCCTCAATTCAAAAGTACTGCATGCAAAATATATATATATTGATCTATAATAAGGTGTAACAACATTTAATGAAATATATAGGTCTATATTAAGTTTAGTTTACAGGGAGCAACATTTCTAATTCCTGTCCAGTCCTTTTATTAAAAATGTGTTCCATTGTAAAGTTAGAGTCAGACAAATCTAGGAACTATATAGAATCATGAAACTGACTACTTTTAAGCCTTATTCACCCACTGTAAAGTGCTGCGGAATTTGTTGGCGCTTTATAAATAATAACATAATAATAATACTAATAATAATAATAGTGTATTGCTAATCTTTAGTCCTTAACGCAGAAAAGTTTTTACTTTTTTTTTTGTATTATCATAATATCATCACCATTTCTTCCAATACTTATGAAACTATGATTGGTAGACATCATTACTGTATGTATTGCTGGATTTATAACTAGGCAGAGTAGGTACTTGCCTACAGGATCATACCTTATAGGGTCTCCGCAGGTGCCTTCTCTGCATGTTAAAAGTTGGCCAGAATCAAGGCTGCTAGACTCTGTGTGCTGATGTATTTAGACTGAGGGAGTGGTGATTTCTGAATGGTCCTGTTCCCCTTGTGTACCTGGACCTCTACATATTTATGGAGGTAGTGCCTGCCTCTGTTCAGTAAGAACCAGGAGTGACTCCATTGGAGGAGTGTGATGGACCTGCTCCATGTGATGGACCTAGTGTGATGGACCTAGTTTTGTGATGGACCTGCTCTCTCCGGCTTAACACTGTGAGTCCAGACTATGGAAGCTGAGATGTGAAGGGAAGAGTGAAAATATTATACGTGGCAAGTACAGATATACACATTGTTACAGACACTGTGTGTGAAACATTTTCCACCATACATTTTTAATAGGTTTTATTGTGTAGGGGAGCTTGAATTGAATGTGTCTTTGTAAATATGTCTCTGATTGCATGCTCTTTTTGGTCTTACCTTATACAACCTTACAAGGAAACGTCATGGTGATAGTGGAAGGACTAAATGAAACCTTAATGACAGCAAGTAGGTTTCTTTCATGTACATGTAAACATCAAAGTCAGCACAAAGGATGAGTGGTAGATTATTATCGAGAAAATTAGAAGAGGTAAATATAGCATTGTCATGCATGAGGTTTTTGCATTTTTGCAGATACTACAATATAACTTCCATTTCCAGCATGGAGCTTTCTTAATATTTTCTTAAAAATGTCGCTCAATCCTCAAATCTGGTGTCTTTCTCTTTTGCTCCATATACATCTTCTGACTGTTAACTGAAGTTTGAAAGTAGTCATTGTCCATTTGTGCCATAAATCAGGACCTGGCAGTCCTTGCGGGCGTAGACTACTCGGGGAGACAATGTCTCCCTCTGATCTTGTAATCCTGACTGCTGTCTAGTTTAACAAAGACATGAGACTACAGTGTCCCCCTTTTGCAGGTCCTCTCCAACTCATGCCTGGGCTGTCAGAGCGTTGCAGCAAGTTACGTGGCACACATGCTAGGCTTGGAGAGAAGGAGAGGACCTGCATGAGAAGGAGATTCTAAACAGCAAGCACTGGACAACCAGGGAATGTAATGTTCTCCCTCCCTGGTCACAGGTAAGATTCATGGAGGGGGGCAATAAACTTGAAAATGTAATAAATGTAATAAAGTAAAATAAAAAATGCTTACTCCACACAGCCCCTATCCTTCCTACCTCAAAAATGTACAAACACACTCTGCATATACTACACAAACACACTCTGCATCTACTGTACACACACACACTGAATCC